CCATATCCTGGCTGTTTTCTTCTTTATTGTTGTCTATTTTTGTCCTGAGTTCATTTATCCATTTATTCATTGTGTTCTCTCTTTCACTTTGGTGTTTATACAGTGCTTCTATGGTTTCCTTTATTTCTTCTTTTGCTTTTTCAAATTCTCTATTTTTATTGTCTTGGAATTTCTTGAGTGTCTCCTGTACATTTTGGTTGACCCTATCCAGTATCATCTCTATAAAATTCTCATTGAGTACTTGTTAGTATGTCTTCTTTTTAAATTATTCTTGTAGGCTTCATTGGGTCCTTTGGCATAGTTTATCTTCATTTTGTTGGAGTCTGGCTCTGAGTTTCTGTTCTCTTCATTCCCCTCTGGTTCCTGTATAATTTTTTGCTGTGGGGAAACTGGTTTCCTTGTTTTTTCTGTCTTCCTGTCATTGTCCTTGGTGTTGTTACTGTCCCTGTACTGTGTGTTTAAGTATTTTCTAGCTTTAATAATAACAATGGTAATATTGAGAATGGAAGAGTGAGCTGAGATGGAAAGCAAGAAGTTAAAGAAAAGGGGAAAACAAATATACAGACAAGAGGGAGAAAGCAGAACAAGGTATCAGACAAGAGAGTTTCAAAGGTATAAACAGGGAGTGTTAGTGTACTAATCGACAGTAAGCTGAACAGACAATAGAGTGACAGAGAGAGGATTGAAAATCAAAGATAAAAAAAAATAAGTATATGAAAGTAATATCTATTTATAAAATGAATTAAAATAAAATGGAAAATAGAAAATTAAAAAAAACAAAAAAAACCAAAAAACTTCCAAGTTTATATGCAATGCAATTTCAGTCTTAATAATTTGGATGTCCGTCTCAATCTCCAGTCCTGGAGTTGGTGCCTCAGATGTTGTTCTGTAGTTGTCTCATCAAAGGGGATGCATAAAGTAGAACAACACTCACACACACACAGAAGAAAAAAAAAAGCCCCACCAAGTGTCCCCAGTTCAAATGCAATACAGTTTCAGTAAGTTTTTCGGCTTGCAGGTGTAATTCGGTTGTTCTCTCATCAAAGGTAGGGAGAAAAAGAAAAAAAAAGCGTCTGGAGGCAGTTCTGAGAGTGGTATCTGCAACTGTGCTCGCCTGCCTGCTGCTCTCAGCCTGTAGCTGGCGGCGTTATTTATGCAGATCTCTGGGTGAGCTTAGCACTCACCTGGTCCACAGGCTTTGTTTGCTCAGAGTTCTCCTGTGCGGGGGAGGGGGGCCTCTGCTACAGGCTTTCCCTTTCCAAGCACTGGGAAAGGTGCCACTGCCCCGCGTTGTCAGGCCTGCGTGTTTATTTACAGTTCACGTGGGAAGTGGGTCTTCCCTCCTCTCACAAGCGTCCCCGCTCCTGGTTGCTGGCGCGCCCCGCTCCCGCCAGAGCCTCTCCGGCCCGCCCGGCTCGTTTATTTACAGTCCCGGAAGGTTCCCTTCCCCCAATCTTCAGCGCTCAGGGCGCCCCACCCTCTTTCCAGCGTGTCTTACTGTTCTTATTGCTTAGTACTCAGTTTCTCTTTTTTTCCCGGGTGGAGGTCAGTCTGTCCAGGGGGCTATGCTGCTCTGGCCCAGGCTTGTCTGTGGGGGAACCGCGGTACCGCGAAGCTCACCTGGTCCGCGTCTTCCCAAGCCGTATGGGCGCCGGCCACTGGCGGCCCCGGGGGGGCCTCCACGGTTCTCCGTTTAACGTGGAGTGGAGATTCTCTGCGCCGGCTGGAGATGTGGAGGAGTCAAAGTTATGCCTTTTCTCGGTGATTATGCCTGCAAAGTGTGTCTCCAGCGTCTCTCCAAGATTTCACTATAGGAGGCTCGCTTTCTGCTTCCTACTCTAGCGCCATCTTGGAATTCTCCCTGTGTTTAGTTTTTTAAGAAGCCTCCATTTGTTTTCCAGAGTGGTTGTACTAGTCTACATTCCCACCAGCAGTGTATGAGGGTTCCTTTTTTCCTGCTTCCTCACCAACATTGTTGTTGGAGGTGTTTTTGATGATAGCTATTCTAACAGGAGTGAGAATGAATCTTAGTATGGTTTGATTTGCATTTCTTTATGGCCAGGGATGGTAGCATTTTTCATGGTTTTTTTTTTTTTTTTTTTTTTGCCATTTGGATTTCTTCCTTTGAAAGAGTCTTTATTGGTTCATTGATTTGGGGGGTTGTTTTTTGAGCTCCCTGTATAGTCTGGTTATCAGTCCCTTGTCTGATGTATAGCTAACAAATATTTTTCTCCCTTGTCAATGGTCTCTTCAGTTTAGCACCATTTCTTTTGGTTGTACAGAAGCTTTTTAATTTTGTGAAGTCCCATTTCTCCATCCTTTCTCTTAGTTGCTAGGCTGCTGGAGTTCTAACTGAGGATTTTCTTTGCCCTGTACCTATTGCTTCCAGAGTATTCCCTGCTCTTTCCTGTACTAACTTTCAGAGTTTCAGGTCTGATATTAAGGTCCTTAATCCATTTTGAGTTGATACTAGTAGGGTGGTAGGCGTGGATCTAGTCTCAGTTTTCTGCAGGCAGGTAGCCACTTTTCCCTTCAACATTTGTTGAAGAGGCTGTCTTTCTCCATTGTATGTCTTTGGCGCCTTTATTGAAAAATAAGGTGGACTAGCTGTGTGGATTCATATCCGGGTCCTCTATTCTGTTCCACTGGTCTTCATGTCTTTTTTTGTACCAGTACCATGCTGTTTTTATTGCTATTGCTTTGTAATATAGTTTGAAGTCAGGTATTGTGATACCTCCAGCATTGCTCTTTTTGCTGAGTATTGCCTTGGCTATTTGTGGTCTCTTGTGTTTCCAAATGAACTTTAGAGTACATTTTTCAATCTCTGTGATGACTGTCATTGGAATTTTGATGGGAATTGCATTAAACATTGCTTTTGGTAGGATAGCCATTTTTACTATGTTGATTCTACCAACCCATGAGCACGGGAGATCTCTCCACCTTCTGTAGTCTTCCTTGATCTCTTTCTTCAGGGGTTTGTAGTTCTCTTTGTAGAGGTCATTTATATCCTTTGTTAAGTTTACTCCTATGTATTTGATTTTTTTGAGGCTATTGTAAATGGAATTGTTTTCCTATATTCTTTCTCATTTGTTCATGTTGGTGTATAGAAAGGCTACTGATTTCTGTAAGTTTGATTTTATATCCTGCTACATTGCTGAAGCTGTTTATGGTGTCTAGGAGTTTTTAGGTGGAGTTTTTTGGGTCTTTAAGATATAGGATCATGTTGTCTGCAAATAGGGATATTTTGACAGTTGCTTTCCCTATTTGTATTCCTTTTATTCCTTCTTGCTTAATTTCTCTGGCTAGGAATTCCAGACTATGTTGAATAGGAGTGGGGAGAGTGGGCACTCCAGACAGTACTTGATAGGTTGCCTAAGCTGGCCTCGAACTCTTGGGTTCAGGTTATCCTCCTTCAGCCTCCTGAGTAGCTGGGGCTACAAGTATGCAACCTCCGGTACGACCTAGTTAGATACCCAGTGGTCATTTTCAGGGAAGAGGCAGGGAGCCCATTCTGCTAGGCAGAAGAGTGACATCTAACGAGAGAAGGTGCAGGCACCCAGCTGCTCCTGCCAAGGTTCCTTTAACCCAGCCAAACTTGAGCATTTAGGTGAGCTGTTCTGATGCCAGGCAGCAGCCTGTGCAGAGGCATGCATGACACCTAGAAGTGCTGAATCCCTGAGGGAAAGTCACACTCAAACCATGGAGGGCTTGGGGCAGTCTAGACCATGGGGCCGGGGGTCCCCTCACAACTGCCTTTATGTGGAGTCCTGGGTGAGTCCTGGGTGCAAGTGTGTTCCCTCTAGCTGCTCTGGATAGCAGGCCCCTGGTTATTCCCAGAGAGGTTTAGAAGGCTGTGGAGATAATGAAGATGAGCCCTTCAAAGTCTAAGGTTAGCCCAGGCCAGAGGAGGTGCCCTGCATTGGCCACAGGTGAGGCACATCCCTAAAATGCTGGGCTTCAGTCCAGGGACACTTAGCTGAGGTGGACCCTGCAGGGCGGGCCGGGGACTCCTCCTCCCCTCACACCCCTGCCCAGCCTGTTGTGCTGCAAACCTAGTACATTTAAAAGCATGTGGGGAGCCTGGCAACTCCAGACAGGGGGACCCCAAGACTTGGGTGAACATTAGGGTGTTTATTTGTCCAGGTAGAACTGGCCTCGGGTAGAGTGTCCCCAGGCAGAGGGAGTGCGTCCTCAGGTACTGGCCAGCCCTACTGACTGTTGGCTGCGGCATTTTGTACATTGTGCCCTTTATCTGGGGCCAGGGTCCTCACTTTTATGGGGCAACATGGGTTCCCTCCCATGGGATAGTGGCTTTAGGAAGGGTCCACATGACTCAGGACAGGGAGGATTTTTCCAGCCAGGACCTGGTGATGTGGATTTGGGCTCGTTGAGATCACCCAGAACACTCCCAAGGGCCTGATGCTGAGTATACTCTGGGGGGGGGAGGGGTACCCTAGGTCATAGCAGGCCCCTGGACATTGCCCAGGTTTGGAGAAATTGAAGGCAGGATATCTGTAAAGGTTTTCCCTCTGCTTATGAGAGGAAGGACTAATTTCTTTAATAATGGTTTACTGGGCCAGGCATGGTGGCTCACACTGTAATCCTAGTTACTTGGGAAGCGCATATTAGGAGGATCTCAGTTTGAGGCCAGTCCAGGCAAAAGTTAGTAAGATCTCATCTCAGTAAGCTAAGCATGGTGGCTCTTTCCTATAATCCCAACTACACAGGAGATCTTAGTAGGAGGATTATAGTCCAAGGCCAGCCTCTAGCAAATTGAGATCCTATCCAAAATAATTAAAACAAAAAAGGGCTGGAGGCATAGCTCAAATGGTAGAGTGCCTACCTGGAAAGGCCTTAAGTACAAATCCAGTACCACAAAACAAACAAATGAAAAAGATTTATTGAGTACCTGACCCAAGGAAAAGCTGTTTTAAGTCCTTAAAAAGCTATCAACAACAGCTGACCAAGGTCTGACCAAGGTGGCCCAAGAAGATGGCCACCTGCATGACTCTTCTCTCCCTGCAGAGGGCGAACAAGGGCAGCAAAGCCATGGAGAGGCTGAAGAAGAAGCTGTCTGAACAGGAGTCATTGCTGCTGCTCATGTCTCCCAGCATGGCCTTCAGGGTTCACAGCCGCAATGGCAAGGTGAGTGCCTGCTGGCTCCCTGAGGCCCACCCTGAAAATGCTTCCAGCCTGGAATGAGTGCTTGACCAACCAGCTGCAGCCCAGACCCCTCCACCCACCTGTTGTCCCCAGCTTATGTGTGGCCTTTGCAACTGCAGTCCTTTTTCTCTCGAGTATCCCTGTGCCGAGAGAGATCTTTCCATCATGGCACATGCAGGCACATAGTGTTTTTCTGACTGGTGCTTTGGCTGTGGCCCCAGGTTGAGTGGCAGCTGGCTCACCTCCTACAGCTGGAAGGTGTAGGGTCTCCAGAGAGGGAAAAGAGTAAGAAGACCCTACCCTGGGTGCAGAAATACTATCTGGGGACCTCCAGGGCCAGCCCTCATGACTTCTGGTCTGGCTTCTGGTGCTGTCTACAGCGTGGGCTTCTTTCTCCACAGCATCATGTATACCTGTCAATGCATAGAGTAGTTTGTTCTTTGTCACCTGGGCTAGAGAGGCAGCCTGTAGGCACCACAGTAGCCTGTCTCTGGCTACAGCATGGGCTTGTGGGTAGAACACAGGAGTTTGGGTCCTCTGAGGACCTCACCTGATAAGTCCTCTGTGTCCCTCAGCTGCACCCCCTCTGCTAGTGTTACTCCTCAACCCAGTCATACCCAGTGGGGCATATACCAGAGGCAAGCCTGTGGTGAGCATACCTGGCCATGAGCATACCTGGTCACTGTGGCACACCTGGGCTCAGCTTAGTCACCTGATGGTGGGAAGGTGAAAGTCTTGGGCTCTATCCCCTGGGCTTGCCAGGTAAGGACTCAGCCAGGGTGGGGATAACTGGAGCATGTTCTTTTCATCTGACCTAGAGTTACACATTCCTGATTTCCTCTGACTATGAGCGAGCAGAGTGGAGGGAGAATATCCGGGAGCAGCAGAAGAAATGTAAGTGGCCTCTACACCAAGAGGACCTGACCTTTGGCCATCAGGGCCTGCTGACCATCTCCTGTGGATAGACATCTCCTGTGGTCTTAAACCTTTTTTCTTCTCTTTATCTTGGTGGCATTAGAGTTTGAACTCAGCTTCATTGCTTACTAGGCAGGAGCTTTACCAATTGAGCCACACTCTGGCCCTTTGAACCTTTTATTCCTTTTCTTTTTTAGAGGGTCCTTTATCTAGGGAAATGTTACATGGAGCCCTAATTTAGAAAATAGGTTGGAGAGGAACTCCCCAGCCCTCTTGCACCCTCCCACCTATCCTGCTGCACCTCCCCAGTGATTCTCCTCCCCAGTCCTCGAATTCCCCACCTTTGTCACCTACTCCTAGATCTGCACACATAACACCACCCCCCCTTACCTTCCCCTCTCTTGCACAAATTCCCCCAATTTCCTTGGCTCTTCTGTTAGCCTGCCCTGCCCCCATTTTGCTCCCTGGTAGGTGCTGGTGCTTGGCCGGACCCCCCCTGGGCAGCCATACCGTTTTGGCCCTACTGTCCTTTCCACCTGGCCAGCCCCCTCAAGACTCTTGTCTGGAATAGCCCCTTTCTTCTCTGGGCACAATCAGAGTGGAAAGTCGTTTCTTTCCTTCTCTGGAACTTTTGGCTCTACTGCCTGGTCCTGGTACAGTGTTCAGGGCTGGAAGGCAGACCTTATCCCAAGTCCTTGGCCTGCAGCTCCCCAGCTCCCGACTTGGCCCTCTTGTAGGGAAAGTCAGGCCACAGGCTATGTCCTATGACTATGTCCCAGGCAGCCTGGGCCTTCCGTGGCTATAGGCCAGCTCCTATTGAAGCAGGAGTTTTGGTTCAGCTTCTACACACTGAACCAAAAGGCAGGTAGATCTCTGGGTTGGGGATCTACCTGCCTCTGACCCAGCCTCCTTTCCCATCTCCTTAGGCTCATCAGTTATGCCCAGGCTGAGCCAAGCCACATTTTCCTTCAGTGTCTCTGTGACCTGGGGGAGGAGGGTGGGGATTCCTGCCAGGGCTTGTACAGGGAGTCCTGCCCTAGCACAGGGACCCAAGCCATATCCAGTGTAGCAACATCTGTTCTCCACTCAGTGTTGTACCCAGAAATAAGCCCCTTTTCCTCTCTGGTGGAGAGACATGGACCCACATTATCAGTAGGGCATAGAACCATGCTAGTGTCTATCTGGAGAGACCTCTCAGGAAGGTACTTTCAGGTTATCTTTATTCTCAAACCTACCCCTTGTGGCTTCTGTGTTTTGGTGGCATGTGGACACACATGGATGTGTGTATGTTTGTGAGCAGTATGCAATGATTCTTCTTGTCCTATGAGCCCAGGTCTGGGTTCTTCAGGGATTCGCCTTGCTCTACTGCACTTCACCTGGAAGCCACCAAGTCCCAGCATTGGCCCTGATATATTCTCCCCCCAATGTGTGATGAGGGTCAAGTGAGAGAGGCACAAAGTAGCAGCATGGATTCACCAGTTTCTGCACCGGCTCTGCCTTCTCAGGTTTCAAAAGCTTCTCTCTGACGTCTGTGGAACTGCAGATGCTCACCAACTCATGTGTCAAACTTCAAACTGTCCACAACATTCCACTGACCATCAACAAAGAAGGTGAGACTGACCTTGTAGGCACAGAGCTCCCTCCTGCTGTCCTTATGGTAGTGGATTTTCCTTCAGAAGGAATATGTGTGTGTGTTGTCCACTTCAAGGAGTGGCAGATTGGTTAGGAGCAGTTTTTCCCTAGGCAGCCACCACTGGGCAGTTGAGGTGAGCTTTTCATCGAAAGCTTCTGTCCCTAGCCACAAGGCCTATAACAGCTGCTCCTCAGACCCTCAGTGAAGTGGATCTGGCCCATGGCCCTGTCCTGCCAGTTCTGCTCTTGCTCAGGCACTTGCTGGCTGATATTTGTGGCCATGCTGACTTTGAACTCATTGTTACACATGGGCTCAGTAACATGCGTGAACCTATGCGTATGTACACCTACCTGTGTACTCCATCCACATTCCATATCACCCCATTCCCCCCTCTCCTGTCACTGAAACCTTAGTACACTTTGTCTTGGTCACTGGTTTGCCTACAATGTGAACCCATCTAAAAACAAAGGTCCCAAACCCAGAAACCACAGTGGGCACATTTTCTGTCTGTGATAACTGCGTTGCTCGGTGCTAGGTTGGTCCTGAAGTGGAACCAGCCTGTCACCTTTCCCCTCACCTCTTTGGTCTCTGTGTAGATGATGAATCTCCTGGGCTCTACGGCTTCCTGAATGTTATCGTCCACTCAGCCACTGGGTTTAAGCAGAGTTCAAGTAAGTGGTTTAGGGAGGAAGGTAATTGGGGCTGAGCAGCATTTTTCACCAAGAAGGACATCAAAGCAGGGTGTGGGGAGCCTCCAAAGTGGTTCAGATAGCTACCAGATGACTTTGGCCTTTGACCACTTCGGGATACAGTGCTGATTGAGGTCCTCTGGATATAGAGTTTGTCTGGCTCAGATCTTGTGAGCTGCCCCCTGCAGGCAGGTCTTGAAATTGCAGGGGCTAACAGCCTGACAGCTGTCTGGGTACTAAGAACCAGTTCAGTTGGGTGCCTGTAGCTCACCCCTGTAATCCTAGCTACTTGGAAGGCTGAGATCAGGAAAACTGCAGTTTGAAACCAGCCCAGTCAAAAAGTTTACAAGACCCCATTTCAACAGAAAAAACTGGGCATGGTGGTATATACCCGCCATCCCAGCTATGCTGGGGGAGTGTTAAATAAGGAGAATCAAGGTCCAGACCAGCCTGGGCCGAAGATGAGACCCTATCTCATGAATAACCAGAGATAAAAAGCCCCATGTACCCAACCTTCACAGCACTGAGCTGTTTCCTATGCCTCATATTGGCCTACAGCTCCCTGTGCCCCAGCTCTTTGCCTGATACAATTCATATTGGGGTCCTCTCAGGTCACAGGAATGTCCTTTCATCTCTATCTGGTCCCCACCCTCACCTCTCTCAGGATAGGTGACCTCTGCTTTGACCTCATTCAACTGCATTCAGCTGCACTCACCCTCTAGGTCCCACAATAGCACATTCATCTTTCTGTCCTTCCCACCCAGTGGGAAGAACACTGAAGTTAGTCACTGAAGTGAAGGGGCTTAGCAGGGAATAGCTGAGTGACCAAGTAAGTGTTCTGAGAGGGCCCATTTCCCAGTTCCATAGGCAAGGCAGAGACATTTCATGTTGACCACTGTGGCTTTTTGGGTTTTTTTTTTTTAAAAAAAAAGAAAGTGAAGACCATTTTTTCCTAATTTTGAAAACAACACCTGCTCTTACAGAAAATTCAGGTGAGATGGGAAAGTACAGTCACCTTCTCCCTGTCACCTTCTCACAGATCTGTACTGCACCCTGGAGGTAGATTCCTTTGGGTATTTTGTGAATAAAGCGAAGACACGTGTCTATAGAGACACGACTGAGCCAAACTGGAATGAGGTGAGTTGTCGCTTCCACAGCCCCAGCCAGGATGTTTTCCACAAGAGTCTACACTGCCAGGGGCTGCCTAAGGGTTCCCCCACCCCTGTGCAAGGCCATGCCGCCAGCATTCCGGGAATGTCCTAGGGGGCGGGGGTGGGAGGAGTGACATGTCTAAAGAGATTTTTAGTTCAAGAGATTTTATCTCTATATTCCTGAGAATCTTGTCCACCCAACCCCTTCCCCCCGCCACCAACACAAAGAAACAATATATTTTGCCAGAGAAGTGTTTGGAAAGAGTACTTAAAAGGATTTTTTTTTTGTCCTGCCTTTGTTATTGCCTAGTATTTAGTTTGTAGGTTTCCATAGCGTTTTTCCTCAGAAGCTGGAATGAGCTCCTGTGACCCTCTTGGTTTCCGGAAGCTTGGAACCCTGCCAGTGGGGGCTAGAAAGGAGGCTGTAGCCCTGGCCTACTCACTCAAAAGGGTCCTGTTTGTTGATATCTGGGTGTTGAATTTGTGTGGTCTGTTGTTCTGCTTTCTTCAACCTTAGAAAGCTTTTGTGTGACTCACTTTTGGCCTCAAGTCTTTGAAGTGAAGACATGATTGCACAGAGGCCAGTATCCATGAAGTCAACAGACCTGTGAGATGCCATTTTCATCCTCTGCAGCAGCTGAAGCCCTCAAGAACCTTGTACTTGGCAGTGCAGATGGAACAGCCAGGCTGTAGAGCTGCCTCCTATCCCCTCCCCTGCAGAGAAGGAAATCATGAGCCAGCAGACAGCTCAGTCTTCCTTGGCCTTGTAGTTAGTGTAGTGAGTGGGTAGGATTAGAACCCAGGTCTTCATTGTATACATCCACTACTCTGACCAGTAGACTTGCTGCCTGAATAAGACAAGGGCACAAGGAACCCAGTACAGTTACCTACACATTATAATTCTGGACATCTCTGCATAAAGGCAGAATGGAAGCTGTGATGGTGATGGTGGGGTGGGGGGATGGGGTGTCAGAACTATATGGGATCCATTGTAGGAGGCTTTGTAGACAGCAAAGGGACTGGGACCCTGCAGAAGCAATGAGAGGAAAGGATTCTAGGTAGATTACAAAAGGTTCAGGTACTAATCAGCAGTCAAAACTCCAGGGAGGGGTGAAGACCTAGAGCCTCCTGTAGCAGCAGATTACCTGGTACACATACTGATCATCCTCCAGGAAGATCTGCATATTCCTGGCACACCCTCCCAGGAATAGCTGCTTTTGTTGTTTTGTTTTTTCCTCACCCTCCTCCATGCATAAGCATGAGTGTGAAATACAGAATTCACTGAAGGTATTAAAGGGGTGATGGGGAGCAAGTTAATTCCACTCACCCACCCACCACAGACAACTTGAAAGCCCAGGGGAACATTCCCAATCCTTCCCTATGTAACCTCCACAAGTCACTTTTCTAGAAATGGAGCTTTTAAAACTTTTGTTAAATTTTTATTTTATTTTATGGAGCAAGAGATAGAACCCAGAGCCTCATGCATACTAAGCACACATTGTACCACTGAGCTACACCCCCAGCTTCAGTTTTATTCTAGGTTCAAAGCAAAACTAAGAGAAAGGACAGAGATTCGAATCCATATACTTCCTGCCACTCTCCCCACTATTAAAGTCTTGAATCAGAAGCCAGGTACCGGTGGCTGCCTGTAATCATAGCTACTCAGGAGGCAGAGATCAGAAAGATTGCAGTTGGAAGAAACCAGCCCAGCCAAAATAGTTCAAGAGACCCTATCTTGAAAAAACCCAAAGGGCTGATGGAGTGTCTCAAGATGTAGACCTTGAGTTCAAACCCCAGTATTACAAAAAACAAAATCAGAGTAGGACATAGGTTACAATTGATAAGCCTGCATTGACATATCATCACCCAAAGTCCATAGTTGACATTAGGGTTCACTCACAGTACTGTGTGTTCTATAGATTTTGACAAATAGATGCCTAATGGCATGCATCTGCCACTGCAATATTATCAAGAATAGTTTCATTGCCTTCAAAAAATGAGCCCAGAGTCACAGAATATCTGCATTTTTAACATTTAACAAGCACCCTGAGATTCTGATGTTGGTGGAGTGGGGGCCGCTCTTGGAGATGCTGGTATGCCAAGTGTGGATTAGGTTTGAGAGGATTTGGCTTCCAGAAGTATCCAGGTGGAGGAACAGTGTAATGCTGGTGATGCCTGCAGGGAATGCCCCTGAGGATCCCAGGACCAAGTGAAAAGTCTCAAGCACGGGTCCTTCTGGGCCAACAAGGGCACCATTTGTCCGTGAGCCGTGGTTCATAGATCCCTTCAGCCTGTAATGCTGCCTGCCACACGCTTGAACCTGTTTGTTCATGGTGACTTTCCTTCTGTTTCTGGACCGTAGGAGTTTGAGATAGAACTGGAAGGCTCCCAGACCCTGCGGATACTGTGCTACGAAAAGTGTTACAACAAAATAAAGATCCCCAAGGAGGATGGCGAGAGCACAGACAGACTCATGGGAAAAGGTCAGGTCCAGGTGAGGCAGCCCACCCCTCTCGTTTCTCTCTGGATGCTCCATGATCTTTCCCATTTGGCACTTGGGACTCTGAGGTGGCCCAGCTCTTGAGGTGGTGGGGGAAGGAGGCAGAGGGGGCAGCCATGAGGTTCTATAACATCTACCATGCATGGCTTGGGCTTCAGGGGTCCTTTCCTGCCCCTCTGTCTCATCAAGATGTCCCATCCTACCTCTGAAAGAGTTTCTGTTAAACTTGTTTTTCCAGCTGGGACCTTAGCTCCTCCATGGCCTTAGGAAAGCCCAGAGGCGGAATAGTTAGGTGGTGCTCTGGGCTGAAATTAGTGGTTGTGGGGAAAAATTATGAGTGTCCCAGAGTCTATTCACCTGACTTCTACTCTGAATCTAGACCCAGTTTCTAGCTGTATCCTTGAACAGGGTGCATACAGGTCTCCCCAGACTTGGCATAGAAGTCCCCACGTGGACCTAGACAATGTGTCCATACAGGATCAATGCAGGACTCCCTGGTCCCCAGGGAGAACCACCTGAGCCCTTAGTTCTTTGGAATTTTATCCAGTGCCACCAGTGTTTGGCACTTCTTTCCAGACAGGAGCTTACAACACTTGCTTGTGGCTCTGCCTAATAATTCTTCGGGAAGAAAATCCCTGTTCGAAGTTTCCATCAGCACATCTTATCAGTCCTGCTTAGCCAGGTCCACCCACCCCACCCTATCCTGGTGGTGAGCTGGTGGGAGATAATGCTCCCACTACTGGGACTTTTCATCTTATTTTGAGGCCACTACGGGGAGAGGGATTAGCATTCCTGATGCCTGTGAAAGCACAGGGCTCACCCAAAAATCACCCCCCACCCCGTCCCTTCCTCCCCAAGGGTAGGAAGTAAAAAACATCTTGTAGTGAAACACTGAGCACCAGGAACATGGAGAAAGACGACTCTTCCCTAAGTAGTTCATGACTTCATAGTGAGGACTCGTATTTTCATTCAGAATGGCAAGTCCCCTTCCCCTGGCTGGCCGTGTTCTCAAGAGATGCACACTGTTGCCTGGTTTTCCCTGTGAAAGCTTGTTAGGGAACTTGGACTCAGGGATCCCTTATACCTTGAGAGCAGGTCTAAAAGCAGAAATGTTCCTCTGATTGGTCCTGTCCCTGCCCCACCACCCTCATTCACCCTCTCTGCCATTGATGGACCACTCCTCCCTTGTTGAATGCCAAGACACTTTCCATATTTTGCTGTTCTGTGGGCATCCTGGTGCTGGTCTTTGAAAACCAAAGTGTTTTCATATCTACCAAGTTAGAATTTTTAATGTGTGTCATCTTAGGGCATTTCTCATTACTATAACGGAATAATGTGAGACAGGTTACTTGTGACAAAAAGATTTATTTAGGTCAGTTTGGGAGGCTGCAAGTTCAAGATGGAGCAGGCCCATGGGTTTGGTTTCTGGTAAGGGTTCTTTGGCTACTTCAGATCATGATGGGAGTAATGTGGGAAGAAGAGATTACAACTCCAAACAAGAAGCCAGAGAATTTAGTGGTTTGCTCTTACTAGAGCTCAGGAGTCCCTTAAGAGCTGCCTTCATCCCTTCCCAGGACAGTTCCCCACAACCTGAGGACCTCCCACTAGACCCACCTCTTAAAGGTCCCATCTGAGGACCGCACCTCCAACACAGAAACCTTTGAGATTCAAAGACCATCCAAGCAGCACATGTGTTTTCTCATTGGGTGCTTCATTTGGTGCTTGGAGCAGACCATTGAGAGAGCTCATTTGATACTCAAGGAGATACCTCCCTAACCTGCTCAAGGTCCCCAGGGTAAGCAGGGAGGTGGAGGGAGCAGAACATGAAGCTGCCTCCTTCTGTGCTACATCTCCATTGCTCCCCCTTCCCTTCTCCCTCTTTATGTTTTGCATCTGCCCCCAGCCTAGGGTATTCCTCGCCCACACCCAGGCCCTGGGGAGGCTCTCAACCTCTATCTTACACATCCTAACAGCTGAACCCAAGGACACCAAGTAAGGCTGAGTGTCTGGCTCCTTTTGTTGGCTCATCAAATAAGGCAAGAGGAGCTTCCCATTCCACCAGTTTTTAATTTGAATCATTTGACTTCGATCCCTTGAGTCCTGGGATGACTAGATTTGACCGAGGGGTTCTGAGCACTGTCACTGGGTAACTGGAGGTCTCAGTGAAAAAGAAAACAGAACTGATACTCATATTCCTCCATTGTCATACTGTTGCCAGAGGGCTCAGACAGAGACTGAGAGGGCACCAAAGCTTTCAGGAAGCAAGTTTATTATTAAACAAGCCAGCACCGACTCAGCAGACTCATGTCCAAAGGCTGAGCATTGTGAACAAAGGGTACTTTTCTTATATACCATTTAGAGCAGGTTACAGAAATGGGGTGGGGGGAGTATACAGCTTGTCCCATACATAATCACGTGTTATTTCATTGGCTGTTTTAACCTCTGCGGCGAGGTGACCCTCTTCTGGTCTCCAGGTAACACTCCCCAACTCCAGTTTTCCTTTGTTTCACTGTAGCACTCAGTGTCTCCCTTCCTCCTCCCTGCCTTCCTGCCACATTACCCCCTTTGCTGCTCGGACCCACTTCTGGGCCAAAGAGCATCATCTTGATAAAGACCACAGTACAGGGGGGAGTAGGCAGGATGATATCAGGCATGCTCTTAAGACAAAAAACATTGTCCCTATAATGTCTTGAACCCACCTGCGGTTGAGAACCAGCCCCCAGTAGGTCATTGGGACTTTATCCCTTTCATGTCTGCACAGGGACATTGGCAAGCTTTTTTATCTTGTCGGTAATCTCTTTAATTACCTTTTCCTCATCATCAATCTGTAAACAGCAGTTATCAGATAGAGATTATTCCAGGCTATTGTAGCCAGCGGGTGAGGTTGGGGCTCCATGTGATTGGGAGCCCCCCTCCCCACCACTGAGTCTTCAGAGTAGCATCATTGCAAAACTTTTGTTCCAAGCAGATCAAGTCCCCCCCCAACCCCCCCCGGGGCGGAGAATTGGCCTTTTGGACGAGAGATACAGTAATTCCCAATAATAGAGGTTTTTAGGAGCCAAATGCCCTCCCCGTGGCTGGGTCAGTGGTTTCATTAAAGGGCTCTTGTGGGTTCAGCTCTTTTGCCTCCCATGGCTAATGGTCTCATATTTGTTCCTCCACAAACATAACACGAAGTTACATTCAGAGTTTGTGCTATGGACTCAGCTAGTGAAAGGAACAGGCTTTTGGTTGTAACTGAGATGGAAAACTCGCTTTGTATCTCCTCATAAAAGGAGTGAAAGGCCTGGTATGAGGAGTTCTCATGAGTGATCATGATGAGTTGAATGTGCACCAAAGTACCGGGATCTGTTTCCTTTTTAAAGATTAAAATGTCAACCTTTTTCCCAACTTCCCAGCCTGTTTCATTGAGGTTGAAAATAGTGAAATTTATAGGGTTATAGGCACCAAGAGTGCCGTCGGGAGTTGCGGCAGTTCCATGTGAGGTATGGCCCTCCCTTTTAGCCAAGTTTCCCACCTTTTACAACCCCAATAAGGGCAGTAGAGTTGTTTATAGGACGCACAACCAGATGTCCCACTGTTATCTTTTGGGCATATATACTTGTCATTTAACCTATAGTCCTTTCCCAGGCTAACCCCCCACAATTGTTCTAAGGCCTGGTGTTTTAAGCTATTGTAGCATACACATCAAGGTGTATGAACACAGGTTTGTTGGGGTCATTAGCCTGGGTGAGGTTAACAAGCTTCCCACTGCTGGTGAAGCTTTGGTCCTCTAGCCATTGCTCTCGAGGGAGATAGATGGGGTTAAAACAGATATACTGGCCATCACGAAAGCACACTGAGTAGGTGGTATGGTTGTGGTGCATGACCCAACAATGGTGCCCACACAAGAATAGTAGTATGGAAAACCAGAGTTTTGGTAACAGTACTCTCTGCTTGGGTAGTGTGCATACGTGAGTCATAGTCCAAAGCCTGGGAGTTCCCACGTACAGAGCTGACCAAGATTATCAAAAAGAATACACAGAATGGACTTATCCTCAAAGGTGAGATGGGTGACTCCTCATGCTTCTGCTGTGTATGGACTAGTCAGCCTCTGGAGTGACTAGAGCAGGGCTGATGTCTCCTCGGGTTTCCTGTTGTCTCCTGGGAAGCGGGATCCTGTTGGGGAAGGGTGGTAGTGTTTTCAAGGTGATCTTGTATGGTGAGACTGGGTCAGGGATGCACTCCCGTTTGAGGGAAGCTGGCTTCACTTGGCTATAGTGGATCCAGGGAACAATGTCTGCTACATTGGAAACAACAACAAAAGGGCCCCTCCAGTGAGACTTTATGGTTGAACATTCCACTTCTTTACTCAAACAGCATCCCCTGCATCCCCTGGTTTATAAGGGTACATGGGAGTTGTCAGGCTAATAGGCAGTCTCTCTCTTACTCAGTCATTGATTTTTGAGAGAGTCAAATCAAGGGCCTGTATCTGTTGTCTTAGGGTGAGGTCACCTATTTTCTTAAGGTCCCCTTTGTAGACCCTTGAGTAAAGGGGGTGGACGCCAAAAAAGCATTTCGAAAGGGGAGAGACCCATCTGTCTGGTGGGGCTGGACCTAATCCTGAGCAAGGCTGTGGGCAGTGATTGATCCCATAGTAGGTGGGTCTCCTGGCATAGTTTTTTTAATTGTAATTTTTAGAGTCTTGTTATATGTTTTATTATTCCTGAACTCTGGGGGTGGTCGTGTGTAGCTTTTAAGTTACTTTTAATCGCTTAACCATCGACTGTACCATCTCAGTCACAAAGGCCGGCCCATTGTCTGACCCAATAGACACAGGTATTTCGAATCGAGGAATGATTTTCTTTAACAGGCACCCAGCCACTTTTTGGGCTTTCACAGTCCAAGTGGGGAAGGCTTTTATCCATTCTGAGAAGGTGTAGACAAACACCAGCAAATATCGGGGACTGCTTCTGGCACACAGACTATACCTTTCACATACTGTCTTACTGATG